TAATGTATTTGCTATGTGTAAAATACAGAAATTTCAAACTATTCTTTTAGCAAAGGTAAACTAATAAAATTTGTATAAATTTTAGCAAATTTAATACTTTTTAGATTTTAACATGCATTTAATAGTTTTGTTTGGCCATAAAGAAGCACCCATTAAATTAAGAAAGGAATACTTTAACCTGTAAAATTAATTATACCTTTCCTTTTTTTAACAACAACTAATTAGTTTTCCACTAAAATATCAACCTATTAATTTTGACAGATATGTTTTTTTTATGAAGTAAAATAAATGGATGAGTTAGAGAGAGGAGAGGTGATTTTAAAATATATTATCATTTTTTGAAATGTATTCTACAACCATTAACTATAAAAAATTTCATTATTTTATTTTTTTGCCAGATTTATAGTTAAATTATCATTTAAAATTAGAGCACCCTAAAACTAAAATATTAACTATTGTAAAATGACCAGCATTCGTATTCGGCCTTACTGGTTAAGAAAATTCACTACCCTAAATTTGGGAATTTGAAAATTTACAAAATTCAATTTCAGTTTAATATAGGGACAATTATAGAATAAGTTAAACCGACCACATCATTGATTCTATATTTTTAATTATTTGATCTTTGATTAGGAAATATGATATTATAATTTATGAATATTAATATTAATCAATTTTCATCGTTTTTACAATTCAATTGGTTCTCTAAAATGAAACTTCCTCTTTGTTTAAATAATGTCCTCAAGTCTATACCAGATTGATTAATAAATTCACCTTTCAAAATTAAAGCACCTTAAGATCGAAATTTAAGCAAATTTGATATGACAAGGTAATTAACAGGAGAATTTACTATATAACAAAGAAAATAAATACCACTTTCTTAAATTAGGTTGTTCTTAAAGTTTTGAGATGAAAATTAAGCTACAATACCTTGATAACGATTATCAAAAGATAAGATTAATTATCCTGTCTTAACATCCCAGAAACAGATAGAGTTATCTGCACTACCAGATGCTAATTTAGTACCATCAGGAGAGTAACAAATTGAATTAACTGTTGATAAATGACCAACTAAAAAATAAATGTAAAAAGAAATAAATGACATCACCTAAAATTTATAAATTGGGAATTATTTTTCTACAGTAATGAGTTGACCTTTCCAAATTTTTTTTTGTATTTTATTTACATAAGTATTGGCCCTATAATAAAATCCCTACATAATACTAAAGAAAATGTTTCTCCCTTTTCAGTCAGCAATTATGGACTCAAGGGGATAAAAGCATGAAATCTGAGTATTTCAAATAATATAACAATCGGAATTCTCTTTCTTATTTGGCAGTTAAAATCTGCTAAGTTTACGGGTTTTCAGAATCTGAATAACATATAAATAAGCTCCATTGAAATCTTTAAATCATTGAAACAAACTACCAGCAACTATATTGAAGAATATTGTTTATAATTGGTGGATAATTACTGCTTTATCTAGATGAAATAAAGTGTGGGCACTCTTAAAGTAATTTTAAGTGCTTGTAGATAGCTAATATAAATATTAAATATAGATATTGTCAAAGTGACTGTTTTCGGATGCCTGGGATAAAACATTCATTAGATGTTATAGTATTTTGGATTGGAATCAATTTATTTTTGGATAAAAAACACTTCAAGGCTAACAAATCATGGAAAACTATAAAACTAATTGTTTAAGAGAATTTAACCCAATAGAAAACATATGGGGAAAAATGAAATAAAGTGTATAAAGGTCAACTTAGAAAAATTAAGCTTTGTAACATTCAATTAAAAAGCACCTTCGATGATGAAGCCATTTTGTATTTTGAGAATCATAATTATTAATTCAAATAAGTTTTAGAATATTTGCTAAGAAAATGAATTTTAAGTCAATGTAATTATCTAATATATTTGAATATTCCAATTTGCAAATAATTTCTGCTAGGACTAAAAACCAATTCATTTCATAGCCAATACTTTATTTTTTTAGAGGTCTTCGTTATAGATTTGAGGAAGCATTGGTAAGTTATTCAGCTAATACTTTGTTATTCTATGTATTATGAATATAATTAA